TTCGCCCTTCTGCAGGCCCAGGGCCGTGCCCGTGCCGAGAACAGCGTCTACTCCGTCCTTGCCAAAGCCAACAGCAAAGAGGTCTCCCGCGAGCTGCTCAACGAGGACCTTGTGAACCTCATGGAGAAGGCGATCAGAGCAGTGCAAGCCATGCCTGAGCAGGACTACTGCCACAAGGTGAGCGCAGGGTGCTGCCCCGAGCACCAGGAGGGCCAGGCAGCTCCTGCCTGCATCTACTGCTTAGGCACAGCCCTCTGTGCCCTGGTTTTGGCTGCCTGCTCTCCCCTTGGGGCAGCACCAGCTCCTGGGAGGGAGTAGCATCAGGTACATTGGGGCAGTGCATGCCCACCCTGTCCTGCCCGTCCTGCCGTGTCCATCCTGCCGTGCAGCTCGTGCTCTCTGGCACGGTGCATCTCTCCAAGGCCACGTGTCTTGCCATGCCTGCTGTCTGTTCCTGCCCGCTGCCCTGCGCTGACCCCTGTCCTCCCCGCTGTCCTGCCTCCCCCTGCCCTCTGCAGATCTTGGAGCTGCAGCGAGTTGCTGTTGTCAGCTCGCTAATGAAGGAGGCCAGGATCAGCGAGAGGCGGCGGCTGCACGACCCGGATGCTGTTTACTTGTACTGTGTCAACTGCAACGTGACGGTGTGCCACGGCAGCGACATCCGCACCGTGGAGGGCATGCACCACGTTAACATCAACCCCAACTTCAGGTAGGAGCTGGGCGCTGGCAGGGGTGAGCAGGCAGAGCCCGGCTGTCAGGCATCGCTTGTACAAGCTGCTGCACTCTCCACCCAGGATGGGCAGGGGGTGGCAGCAGCCTGCTGCCAGCTCTTTCTTGGGGACACCAGTCCAGGGAGGTCACAGGGGCTTTGTGGGATGTGTGACTATGGGAGCACATGTGCTGCCCTGTTTCTGTCCCCTGGACCATCATCCTTAGAGTGTCTTTCGGCCCCTTCCTTGCAGGTTGTATTACAGAGTTTCTGGGAAAATACAGTTCCAGCGGAGTTTCAAGGACTGGGAGCCCAGCTGCCGCATCGTGTGCAGTGGGTGCAGCCAGGTGAGTGCGGCACGTGGCACTGCCCCCGTGGCTGCAGCCCGGTCAGGGTGGGAGGGCTGTGCCTTGTGCCCCAGCTCCTGGCTAAGGAGTGGAGCTGTCAGCACATGCCTACATGTGGGACATGGACATGGGTAGCTGTCTCCAAAGGGGGATGTACCCCGGGGAGCAAGGAGCTGCCTCCATCCCAGGAGTGTGTGGCCCTGCACCCCGAGGATGCTGCACCGCGGGTTGTGTGACTGTCCCCTCCCTGCCCGCACAGGAGTGGGGAATGGAGATGATCTACCGGCAGGTGAAGCTGCCCATCCTCTGCATCAAAAACTTCATAGTGGAGACACCGGCTGAGAAGAGAAGATATAAGAAGTGGAGCACCGTGACATTCCCCATCAAGGAGTTTGACTACCTGGAGTACTGCTCCAGCATCCATGGCCAGTCCTTGTAGCGTGGACTCTGCTCAGAAGAGGACTATTCCCAGGCCACCTCCTGGGGCAGTGGGATCCTTTCCGTCGCCCTTGGCATGGGACCCTCCCTCCAGGCCCATGCAGACAAAGCCACGGCTCACTCTTCTTGTCCTTGCTGGACCGACCCACCCCCCCCCAGCACATCCCTTACTAAAGCCTGTGACTGCAGGAGGAGGCTTTGCTGCGCCTACGCAGAAAGGATGAGACATGGGGATAGGAAAGCACCCGAACCCTTCCCTGCCCCCTGGCAGCTGTTCCCCATGCCGCTGCCTTCCCCTCCTGCCCCCCGGTGCTGCCAGCCCGGGGGGGGATGTC